TTTCTATGGCAACCTCTCCCCAGGCCCCATACCCCAATCAGCCGGTCGGGAGCGGGGGCTGCGCACGGGCGGTTTCAGTTGACAGGAGCCGCGTCAGGAGCCGAACCCGGCCCGGCCTGGGCCCTGCAGCTCCAGAGCCCACATGGAGTGAACAGGCCCACACGGATCCTTCAACGAAGCACAGTTTATTTACACCCATAGTAAGGTGAATAACGGGTTATATTCCCTATTCCCGACGCAAATTTCCCTCCCCTGTTTCCCCACTGGCTGGGCACTCCAGGGTTTCCAGCCCATCCAACGCTTCAAGTTATCCTATAAGTTTCCCGCCCCTGTTTACACATTCCATTTTAGCAGTTTACTTTTTACCTCTTAAGGTAAAATTTTGACCTTTCTTGCCCCCTGGGCTGTCTTCCCAATTAACAAACCTACTGGTGTCCTCCTGCCCTGAGGAGCAGCACAGAAGTGGCTCTGTTGGGTCTGATCTTGGCCATAAATCCTGCTCCATGTTCGGATCCCCCAGATGGAGCCCAATTCAGTCCCTCAGTTCCTTGGACTGTAAACCATCCCAGGTGTCACTGGAATGTGCAGATATCTCATTTCTCTCTTAACTATTATATTCCTAACACTAGGGTATATTAAAAAAACCCAAACCCAACAATGTGCTTCTAATACTAAGATGCAAAAAACCCCAACACTAAACCAAACCAAACAACACTAAACCCAACACTCTGCTCCTAACACTAGGATGCAAAACCAACACTACATTTCATTTCTAAGGAAGGGAACAGGACCCTCCGAGCTCCCAGAGAACACCAAAGGATTTTCCTTCAGTGGTTTCACCAAAGGTAGAAAACGTGCAGAGATTTTAGCAGATCCCTAAGAAATCCCATGGGACAGAGACCATCACACAGACCAGCAGCAAACAGAGCTGCCCGGGGCCGCAACAACTCCACACAGAGCTCCTGAGCTTTATAAAAACAGATTTCATGCTTGTTTCGACCGGTTATAACCTTTGTTTTCTGCTGGGGAGGAAAGGGGGAGGAAAAGGGGGAGGAA